AAAAAAATGATGAAAAGGCTGGAGGGATATATCTTTTACACACAATTAAGAGTAAATGGAGAGGCGCCTGGCTGGCTCAGTCGGTAGAGCATGTGACTCTTGATCTCAGGGTTGTGGGTTCAAGCCCCATGTTTGGCGCAGAGTTGACTTAAAATAAAAAGAAAAAACATGTTCATTCTCCTTGTTTAAAAAAAAAAGTAAATGGATTGGGGTGATGAAAAATTTCTGAAGATGAACAGTGGTGATGGTCGCACAACAATGTGAATGTACTCAATGTCACTGAACTGAATACTTAAAATGGTAAATTTTATATTACGTATATTTTACCACAATAAAAAAATGTAAATGAGGGGTGCCTGGGTGGCTCAGCTGGTTGAGCGTCTGCCTTTGGCTCAGGTCGTGATCCTGGGGTCCTGGGATCGAGCCCCACATCGGGCTCCCTGCTCCGCGGGGAGCCTGCTTCTCCCTCTCCCACTCCCCCTGCTTGTGTTCCCTCTCTCGCTGTGTCTCTCTCTGTCAAATAAATAAAAAAAAATCTTTAAAAAAAAAAAAATGTAAATGAGTACAAACTTCCAATTATAAATAAGTCATGGGGATGAAAACTACAGCACAGGGGATATAGTCAATAACATGGTAATAACTTTCTATGGTGATATATGGCACCTAAACTTACCGTAGTGAGCGTTTCCTAACATATATAATTGTTGAATCCCTATGTTGTACACCTGAAACTAATATGGTATTGTATGTCTACTATATTTCAATAAAAAGAGTAAATGTGTATATGAATAGAAAACACATAAGAGAATATATGTATTTTTTAAGATTTTATTTATTTGAGAGAAAGAGAGAAAGAGAGACCGCATAGACCCATGTGCAGGCCATAGGGCTGAGGGGGAGGAAGAAGGACAAGCAGACTCAGCACTGAGCAAGGAGCCTGATGCAGGGCTCAATCCCAAGACCCTGAGATTGTGACTTGAGCTGAAATCAAGAGTTGGACACTCAACCAAATGAACCACACAAGCACCTTGAGAATATATATCCTTAAGTAAAAAACATACTTAGAGAATGTGGAAATTTCCATGTTCACAATAAACAAAGAAGGTGGCATTTTTTCCTAATTCATTCTGCATTTCCAAACATTTTATGATTCTACACAGTTCAGTATATTCTACACACAGCAAAAGTTTGATTACACTATAAACTAAGGTTGAGTTCAAATGGTATTGGAGAAACTACATAGGAACCATTTTGAAAAGTCTGAAAATAATAAAAACTGCAGGAAAAAATTATTAATGTATGATAATCAATCAACTGTCTCAAAAGGGGACTTGATGTTTCAAGTCCTTTCATCTGAGTGTTAATTCTTTGATGGGATCATCTTAAATCTAGCTTTACAGATTCAGAAACCTGACCTCTTTAGTTCATCCAGAACTGATTAAGCTGACTGACTGACTCAGGTTAACCACTAAAAAGGCATCAATGTATAAACATAGTTCATTTACTACATTACTGCAAGGGTTGAAACTACTTATGCAGCAAAATCTGAATCCACTAACTAGCTTTGTGACCATGGCCAAGTTGCCAAACCTCTCTATGCCTATGTGTCATCAGCTGTAAAATGGGATAACAATATGGTGCTGTTGTGACTGCTAATATTTATAAAGCTCTTTGAACAGTTACTACATAAGTATTTGTTAAATACAGTAACACTCACTGATCAATCTCTCTGGCACTTAAAAAACAAAAACAAAAAACCCACATAAAACACCAAGTTACCATTAAAAGATTCTTCACTGAGCACAGAATCAAAACAAAGAAAGCTGAAAGACCTTGGCGGGTAGTCCTCTAATAAAACAACTTGAGAACAGTTTCTTACTCTAGAGCAGGGTTTCTCAACCTCACCAGTGTTGACATTTTGGGCCAAGATGATTCTTGCTGGAGTGGAATGCAAAGGGTTGTCCCGTCCATTCTTATTGTAGGATGTTTAGGAGCATTCCTGACCTCTACCCAACTAAATGTCAATAGCAACACTTCAACCAGCACCACCATCACCAGTTATGACAACCAAAATTGTCCCCAGACACAGTCAGACGTCCCCTGGAAGGCAAAATACGTCCCTGGGTTAAGAACCAATGCTTTAAAGATTTATTTGCCAAACTGAACAATTTGCTCCTGTCAGCTGTTCAAGAACCTCCTTCCCTGTCAGTTTTGGAGATACCATGACCACCCCCAGTCCAGGGGCTTCCATTTTTAGCTCCATGCATTTTAGTTCTTCCTTGATCTGTTTTGTTTTCTTCAAAAAGGTTACAATGTTTAGTTGTAGCTGTATTTAGGAAGCCCAGTTCTTGGGTTTTCTAGAGATTACATCCTCCTCTTCTAGACCAAGTAAGAGTGGCACAATTTATCCCATGGTCTAAACAAAAATAAATCAGTCCTTAGGGTAGGAACTTCTGCAGGCAGCTAATTTAACCTATTACTTTTTTTTTTTTTTTGGTAGTTTTAATCTGTTTCCCCTAATTTCATCTTCATATTTTGGAAGCATTTCACTGTAGATCCCCATGCATCAGCACCTGAGGCAGGGGAGAGAATAATTTATTTTGAAACTCCAGCACATAATTCAATACAGGATAAAATAAGAGGGTGTGTGGGGGGGGAGTGAGAATATTTATTAACATTTTATATTTTGAAATATGCTATATGTAAATGTTAGGCACTGAGCCAGTTTTTCAACTGTGCTCAAAGGAGGGAAATTGCTACAAATCTGCCTGAGCACTACAATATAACTTATGATGGCAGCATTCTGAAAAAGCAGAATGAATAATGAATCTCAGTAAACTGTCCTTGGTACAACTTTTGTGGAATGACTCTGGAATAGTTCTTTTTTTTTTTTTTGGCACCTACATTGATCAATCTTATTAGCTTTCAGATAAACAGTCTACAATGGCTTTGGAGTATGTATATCTTTAGTAGAAACAACAACAAAAAAAAACAATCCAAATGATAATATATTAAATATCAAGATGAATAGCTACTTTAAAAAAACTTTTTAAAATGAATAGCTAATAATGGGGGGGCAAACTTCTCTGATGATTATGAATTCTTACTACTTTTTTTTTTTTTAAGTAAACTTTACGCCCAACATGTAGTTTGAACTCACAACCCTGAGATCAAGAGTCATATGCTCTGAACAAAAATGAATCATGGAACACTACATCAAAAACTAATGATGTAATGTATGGGGATTAACGTAACAATTAAAAAATTAAAAAAAAGTGAAGGAATGGATAAAATATAAAAGAGAAAACAAATTTTTAGCCAAAAAAAAAAAAAAAGAGTCACATGCTCTATGGACTGGGCCAGCGCTATAGCTGCCCCAAATTCTTAAAGGAGGAAATACTAAAATAATAAAAGTAATAAGATCATCAAATAACAAAAACTCTTTACATGTTAACAAAATAGCATTTTATGAAAAAATCACTATTTTCCAAAACAAAATAAAATTAGTAAGAAAAGAGGTACTACTTTACATTTTTGAAAATCTTTTTAATGTGTGGCTCAACAGAAGACAGATCATCATATATGCCTCTGCATTCAATCTGTTGCCATATATCATATGTCACGTAGTCTCTGGAAAACTCCACTGTATACTTGGGAGACAATGAGTAAAAAAGGCAAATAATGCCTTGGAATTATCATGAAAATAATTTTGACTTTATGGATCCTCTGAAAGGATCTCAGGGCCTCTCTTGCCAGGGGTTTAGTACCATAAGTATGGTACTTCAAGAATACCTATTCTAGTTGCTTAAGGACTTTTAAATTTTACAAATGTATACAAATAAATGTATCTCTTTCATTTTTCAATTAAACATAAACATGGTCTCAGTTTTTTTGTCTAAGACACTGCACACAAAAAGCAAAAACCCCCCCTCCAAACTGCATTCACGATCATTCACAGACAATAAATTTAGGGAAGGAATTTTTTTTTTAAAGATTTTATTTATTTCGGAAAGAGAGAGCACGCGAAAGAGAACAAGCAGGGGGAGCTGCAGAGGAAGAGACTGAGCACGGACTCTGGAAGCGGGACTCGATCCCAGGACCCTGATATCAAGACCTCACCGAAAGGCAGACGCTGAACCCACTGAGCCACCCAGGGGCCCTGGGAAGGAAAATTCTTAACATAAACCCTTACAGCACCATATAACAGTAGTTAAGAGTGTGAAATTACAAAGGTCCGCTGTGTGACCTCTGACATATTTAACCTCCCGGTGCTTTTAGTTTTCTCATCTGTAAAATAGAGATATAAATGTTTCCACCTTACAAGGTTTTATCAAGATTAAATGAGTGAAAACAAATTAAGAGCTCAGAACTAAGCCTGCATGTAAAACTCTGATCAATGTTACTTTTAGCTGTAATCGTCATTTTTAACATGTGATAGTTTTTTTTTTTAATTTTGAAGTAATTTTTACACCCAACATGGGGCTCGAACTTACCACCCAGAGATCAAGAATCGCATGCTCCTCGGACTGAACTAGTCAGGCACCCCAGCAAGTCGTAAAGTATCAAACCTGAAACATTTGCTCAAGAAAACCCGGTCTGGGGCGCCTGGGTGGCTCAGTTGGTTAAGCGACTGCCTTCGGCTCGGGTCATGATCCTGGAGTCCCGGGATCGAGTCCCGCATCGGGCTCCCTGCTCGGCAGGGGGTCTGCTTCTCCCTCTGACCCTCTTCCCTCTCGTGCTCTCTATCTCTCATTCTCTCTCAAATAAATAAATAAAATCTTTAAAGAAAAAAAAAAAGAAAACCCGGTCTGACCAAACCAGTCCTAACAAAATGCCGCAATTACTCCGTGTTTACTCCTCACACTTTTGTCCCTTTAGAGGAATTTCATTCAAATATCGGTTTAAAATAGAAAATAAATGACGGGAAAGCATTTAAGAAGACAACAGAGCTGGACCGTTTTTGAAAACACGAAAGAACTCTCAGGAACAAAAGGAAGGACTACCCATTAGTTTGTCAATTAATAGGCTTGATAACAAAGTTCATAAACTTTCAGAATGTATTCAGTAGTCCAAATTCTTCACTCACAGGTAAGTAACCGAGACTCCTAACTTCTCCAGAGCCATAAGGACAGTGAGTGGCAGAATCCTTCCAAACAAAACCTCTTTTATCAGGGCCTACAAAACTTTCGCTAATTCTAACCGAACAGGTTCAATGTAAATCAACTTTGTGGACACTGAGAGCGGTAAAGGTGCCAAAGACCCTTGCTCTCCTTCCCTAATCTGGTTCCCAAGGAGTCAAAAAACTACAGCAGTTATTTCCTGACTATTAGAACCACAGTAACCGTATCTTTTCTGGGTATACATAGTGCCTCACAGTTTCCAAAGAGCTTTTCACAGTATCAGAGGAAAGAACATGAAAACATTCAGAATGCAGGGTTATCTACTATTCTTTACATTGAATTCTTGCTCCATAATCGAAGTTGAAGATGGCTGTTTCCATAGAGTCACTTCAAATCACCTCTTGCCTTATTGCTTACTTACGCCGCCGTAGCACGGTTTGAGGAATACGGGCAAGCAAATCCAGAGAAACTCAAAACCGCGGGCCAAAACCCGAGCGGAAACGGCCGGAGGAAGCAGCCCAGGCTTGGGGCGAACCGTCCCTCCTCCAGACCGTCAGCACAACAGGATTTTAGGGGGCACGACACGTAGCTCCGCACAACCGCCGCCCCCCGCCGCCCAGGGGCGTCCCCGGAGGGCAGGAGCCGCAGCCTCCAGCTCAGCCGACGGAGGCGGGCCAGCAGTAGCCCGCACGTCCCGACCCCTCCCGGCGGCTGGCCCGGCCCCCGGGGAAGCCCCCTTCGCCCCACCCCGGGCCAGGACCCGCCCCCAGCTTCCCCGGCCTCCTTCCTGTGGGAAGTGCGGCTCCTTTCGCGTCCCCCACCCTCTCGGCTCCGCCTGGCAGCCGCTCCGCCGCCGAGCGCACATTGCGCCGGCAAAGGGCGTCTGGGACCCCCCAAACTCGCTCGTGCACAAACAGGCCCGCTCCGGCAGCGGGCCTTGCCTGGGCAACAAGCCGCCGCCCGCCCCCTCGCCACGGGCGAGGTCTTACCTCGCCACCAGTAAGTCTTGGACAAGTCGTGCCAGGTCTGATGCCGGGTGTGGTGAGTGCCGCCCGGGCCCAGGTGCGCCGCCTCGATGAGCCCCCGGCGCCGCTCCGGCTGCAGCACCACCTCCAGTTCCGCGAAGGTCTTGCGGTGCCGCTGCCGCCGCTGGTAGTACAAAGTCCCACCGCGCACCACATAGCAGGCGGCCGCCTTGCGGATTTTACGCTTGACATTGCCCTCGGTGCCCGGCGCATACGGCTCACGCTCGTTTGTCAGGTATCGAAGAATGGCCCGGTAGCTTTCCTCGCTTGACATCGCTGACGGCGGCTCCCTGAGGGCGCCTGTCAGTGGTGGGGGAGGAAGACAACGCACTGGCTCCGGGCGGATGCAACAACGGCGGAGGGACTGTAGGGAGGAACCAGTGTATCAGAGGTGAGTGCTCTTCGACGGCGCCCGCAGCGCGAAGGGAGAACGGACGAATTGGTAACCAGGGGGAACTGCACTTCTCCAGCGCGCGGGATCCACTGGCGACTGACAAAATGGCTGCTGCACCACCGGAAGTGACGTGATCAAGGGTAGTGGGTGAGGGGACTGAGTCCTGATTGGAGCGCACCGGCTTTCTGGCTTGATGAAGCTGACCGAGTGACGTCAGGACTGCGGACGGACATATTGGAAGCGGGTAGGCCCTTCCTGGGAGACCGAAGTCGCTTCGAGCAGACATCTTAAGTCCTGGCAGTTTCCCTTTTTATTTTTCCCTTTTCCCAAGCTCTGAGCACGTGTAGGACTTGGTGGGCTGTTATCTTGCCCGAGGTACGCCAAAATGTAGAAGAGTCTGTTTTTCCCCCCCGCCTACCTTCTGAGAGTCCCCCGACAACACAAAAGCATCAGATTTTGAGGCTCTTAGTAAAGTGTAAACCTAAGGACACAAGACCAAAGACAGCCCCATTCACATGTAAATGTAATTTCCAGTTAAACATTTAAAATCCAAGTCCCTCAATGATAGGATTTACTGTAATTTCTAAACTTAAAATTGTTGGCTCCAAATCATGCATGGAATAGTCGGGATTTTCCTGGAATGACCGTCGTACATAGGGGCAGTTTTCTATATATGAAGGTAACGATTTTGGCAACGAGTGGGGAGGAGTATTTAGCACTCTTACAGCTTAATTTGCACATATTTTTACATAAATTGGGGGGGAATTCTCCATTTTACACTCAATATTTATTGAATGCACAAAAGGCTGAGGCGACTTGAACTGCATTTTCCAGTGTGCACTGTAGGTTCTGTTTCACATTTTTAGCGGGTAGCGCAGAGTGGTGACCTCTGTCACCCTAACGTGGGTTTAATCTGCAGCGCAGACAAGACCACAGGCCTATGACATCCTACTTGACAACGGGTCAGACACTGACAGTGCTTTGCTGGCGCCTGAGAACTCCGGGCCAACCCCTCCTCCCCATCCTGGAGTCTGCAAGTCGCTGGGTGAGGCTCTTTGACCTTGTGGAGACAGGTTAGGGGCAGACAACAGGTGAATGCACTGGGCTCAAAAAATAGGATGGCACCCAGTCTCTGTGGTACTTGTGGGTGGGGGTTGCAGAAATTAACAGATGGCCTAGATACTTGAGGCAGCATGCTTGAATGACTCTGGCTGTAGGTACGTGACCTCGCAGACGCAGAGAAAAGACAGAACCACTAGACCTCGGATTTACTTAAGGTCACTCAATCCACAGACTGAGACAGCTGGGGAAGGGAGGAGGAATTAGAAGGTGGAGATGCGCCGCGCCCCTCCTCTCCTTGGGGTGGGGCACCCAAAACAGCTATCCACATCAGCTCAAGAACTGTGTGCTGGGTCAGCACCATCGCTCTTCAGCTGTGAAATTGACTCCCTTTAAATTTAAAAAATAGATTTAAATAAAAATTTAACAAGTCGTGGAAGTGGAGAAGAAAAACTTAAAAATCCTACACCCAATTCAGTTTCTGCCAAAAAAGCCCTGTGAAAGCGCTGAGAAGCCCACCATACTTGGATTCGCCTCTGTGCCTTTGGGCCAATAGGAAGAAAAAGGTTTTACAGGTGGTCTAATTGGTCTAAAAGCTAAAGTTGCCATCCTCCCAGAACAGGTATTTAGGGTTTTTTTTTAGCTCCTGCTGGACAGCAGGCTACCCAGGAATCAAAGGTAATCAGAATTGGCAGTTTCATTTTATTAAGATGTGTAAATCAGAAAAGCACTTATTTGAATAAGATTTTGTGTCCAAAAGTTAAGTTTTCCTCGTTCATAGCTAATGGTTTTTTCCCCCTGTAATTTCATGAAACACAATAAAAATGACTTTTTTCCCCAAGCAAAATCTTAGTTTCTAAACAAGAGCCAATGTATCTTGAATTATTTTTAATTGATTTTACACATATTTTAAGTCCCCCAAAAGGACTATTCTATTTATTCCCAACACCTAGTACAATGCCTGAATTTAACATCACCTAGACATAACAATTAGTTCCATCACCTTGGATAGAATGTAGGTGTGTGTGTGGAGGGGGTGGGATGTGTGATTTTTACCTTCACCTAAGTATTCTATGTGTAAAAGCATGTTTCTCAAACGAGGATGTGGCTTGTTCCCTGTTGTTTTCCAATTTGGCAGTGTGGTACACAAGATTATCTACTTTCAATGAAGTGCAAGCCTAGTCTTTTTTTTTTTTTTTTTTAATTTTCTATGTATTTGAGAGAGAGCACAAGCATAGCAAGCGGGCACATGGGGGGAGGGGCAGAAGCAGGCTCCCCACTGAGCAGGGAGCCCAGTGCAGGGCTCAGCCCCTTGACCTGAGCCAAAGCCAGACGCTTAACTGACTGAGCCATGCAGGCACCCCACTACAAGCCTATTCTTAGCATAAATTATTACTCTTCCTTATCACATTTTACACACAAGTATTTCTTGAACATCAGGCTACTGTTTCTTTTGTAATTTTAACTATGGTTCTAATTTTCAGCTCAACAAACTATCTTGTAATTTGTAAGCAAATATTCTACTCATGTGCTAATTAAGTTGTACTCTTCATTTAAGCTTATTTTCTGTAAGCAAGGAGATTAATAGTACAGTTGAAGTTTTAAGCACTTTTAACTCAGCTATCAACTAATGGTAAACAAAAGGCAAGCCCAATACAAAATGTGTCTACCATGGAAGAGGATAACTCAACAAGAAAATAATTCATTAAAAAGATTTAGTTCAGCTATTACATGTAGGCCCAATGTTGTGTTTTGAGAATAAAAAACACCACCACAATCTAGTTATAGTCAGATATTTATTTAAAAATCTGATCCACCAACTTAGCGTTTTCCGCCAACTCGGGGTGCAGAAACCTTCACAGGCTTCACAATCTTTTGCTTAGGTGCTGCCTTCGTGGGAGCCTGTAAAAAGAGAACATGTTATGTGGCATTATTACATGCAACTTTTTAAATCACCTCCTTCTCATGTTCAGATTCTCTGTGTATTCTAGGTTTTCCATTATTTAACTACATTCCTAATATTATTCTTAAAAGTTACCCTCTCCCTGAGAAGTTAAAAGTCCACTTCTATATATGTAAATGAAAGACAAAGATATCGTCATAGAATGGAGGGGTTAAAGTGAGGAGACACAACTAAATGCAGTGTGGGATCCTGAATTGTATCCTTAGAACAGAGAAAGGACATTATTAGTCACCTGAGATCAATGGCTTTGAAATTTTACTATGGTTATCTAAACTGGTAACATTGAGAAAAGCTGGGCAAACTCTGTACTATTACTGAAAACTTTTCAAAATAAACTTTAAAAACAAAAGCCACCTTTATTTTCTTTCTCCTTTCCCAATTTTTGTCTGGCAGAGGGACCTCTGAAATCACACACCCAGAAACCAGTTATGAACATCATTTTCATTGGAGCCTTGCACTAAATTCCTTAAAAACTTGAAACTTTCATTAACCAAATTAACTATTTGGATTAAAAATAAATTTTCCTTTTATTTGTCTATTTTTAAGTAATCTCTACACTCAACTTGAGCTTGAGGTCACAATCCCAAGATCCAGAGTCACATGCTCTAATGAGTGAGCCAGACAGGGCCCCTCCTGTTATTTTAAATAAGAAATCCAGGACAATCTCACAATTACCTTAGCAGCAGCCATTGCTGTCTTTTTAGATGCTTGCTTAGCCTTTTTTGCTTCCTTGGCAGCCCTGTGGAGTTAAAAATAATTTAAGGCAAAGTGTTTTACTCCTTAAGAGCACAGTTTAGTAACAAGGAGCTAGAGTGTTTTGGGAAAGAATTATCATATTCCTTCCCCATTGCAATTATTTGTATAAATCCAAAGGGTTTGTCAATAAATGTCATTAACCACCAAGTCAGCTTAACATAGATTAGAAATTGTGCAGCTTTAACTGCATACAGAATTTCAACAAATCATTAAGTATATAGTGTATTATAAACTTCTGTATTAAACTTCAATATTTATGATTGGCAATTTCTTTATAGACGCCAAGTCTCAAAACACAAAATAACATCAAATTAGATTCCTATGCCTATAAATGCAAACATAACATAATCCATCCCAACAGCTGAAATGCTCATAATGAAGGCTTCCTCACCTGATGGCCTGTTCTCGTTGTGCCTTCCTAACTTCAGGTTTCTGATTCCTCTTGGCCATTATATCAGCAAGAGATGCACCAGTGATGGCCCTCTGGAATTTAACTGCACGGCGGGTTCTTTTCTTTTGAATTTCTTCCTACGAAACAAAAAGATGGGAGTGTACTTATAAACCTTGCTTCATGAACATGGGGGGAAACAAAATCTTAAGATTTTATTTGTCTTGGTGCACTTAGGCTGCTACAACAAAATACCAGACCGAGCACCTGATAAACAGCATTTTTTAAATAAGGGCACTATTCCCATTCCTGAGGGCAGAGCCTCCCAAAGGTCACACCTCTTAATATCATCACTTTGGGGGTTAGATTTCACCATCTGAATTTTAGGGGTATACATTCAGATCATAGCAATATTCAACAAAGATAATTCATGCAATCATTTGAAAAGATTTAAAGAATATATAAAATACTGCAATAGGCAGATAAATTTTCCAATTATAGATTGGTTAAATTCTCTCACAAATCCTGGCCATTTTTTACTACTTTAAAAAGACAAAAGTCAAACTCTTTGAAGATGGTACTTCAAAAGTGATTAAAAAAAAATTTTTGAGAGAAAGGGGAGAGGGGGGACGTGTGTGGCAGAGGAGGAGGGAGGGAGAATCCGAAGCAGAGTCTGCGCTCAGAGCCCAGTTGGGCTCAATTCCACAACCATGAGACCATGACCTGAGCGGGAACCAGGAGGTGGACGCTCAACCCACTGAGCCACCTAGGCGCCCCACTTCCCCCAAAAGTGATTGAAGACTTTATAGTCAACAATTTACTTCTGGAAAAAAAATTATCAAACCTCAACTCACCTATTTTATTTTTACCTAAAGTACTGTCAATGGAAGAAATAGTCAATTGGAAAATGATTTATCACACGAAAGCTACTAAGTAGTAGGGAATGTCCAGAATTCAAGACAGTACAATTCAAACTTTTGCTAATAAAAGATACATAACATTAGCCATCTTAAAGCATTTATAGGTCTGTAACTCAGTGGCATTAAGTACATTCACAATGTCGTGTGCAACTACCACCACTATCCATCTTTGTAACTTTTTCATCATTCCAAACTCCACATCCATTAAATAATAACCCCCCACCATTCCTCCCTTCCCCTGCCCAGCCTCTGATAACCTCTACTTTGTCTTTATGAAT